ACACTACTTGGCGGAGATGAAAACATTGCACACAAAGAGCATTAACCTTCCTGCAGCCCAGTGGGTGGACGCTCAAGACTCGTGTGAACAAGCAAATGCAGCCACAGAGGACTCATGTGTGAGCAGCAACTTGGACTTAACTTGACATGACAACAATGTTGTTGGGCACAAGTAGTTTTGCAGCCAATAGCACACGCACAAGAAAACAAAAATACAAAAACAATACAATATTGTCCAGGAAAAAAATAGCTTCCTAGCACATTGTTCACAGGTTGCCAGGATATGTTTGTCACCAATTTGACTCGGACCAATGATCAAGTAAAATAGCTGTATAGTATAGTTATGATTGTGTTGCTGCAACCTAAGGCCCACCCTCAAAGCGATTGCGGAGATACAATGGATATACATTGTACAAGGCTCACTGTCTGAACAATCGTCAACAACAATGCTTGGAAACCAACAATGAGACCCGTCTTAGAGTGCTGAAGGAATGCCACATCACCTGGACTTCCCCCGAGAGTGAGGCTCTTCGTCGACAGTGGCAGCTGTCTGCTTTGGAGATGAACAAAACACTAGCAATCACTGAGGCTCAAGAAGACAATCAAGTGTTGGTGAACCCAAACTCCGAGTCCCTTCCTTACATGCCCATCACCAAGGTTTTTGCTGGTTCCGGTGACCTGGGTTTGGGCGACAAATCCTATGCGTTGGCGAAAGAGACTGTTGAGTCTGTTGACCAAAGCACTCCTGGCTTTGTTACTACCTACTCCAACAAGTGGCGGGATAGAGTTCTCCAACAAGACCAGTCTGTCAAGGTACAAGCTGGACACACCACATTGTCATGCCAACAGCAGTACGGGTTCTGCAAGAGCAGCATCGTTGATGTGGACAGGTTCACACGTATAAACGACCATATCGTCAAGTTTGTCAAGAGGCACAGGCAACGGCATTTGGTTGGAGGGAAGAACAAGGGGCCCGATGCAACAATCCAGCTTCCACTTATCTTGGCAAAACAAATGAACCTTGAATTGTTTTTGCATAGCTGTTGCTTTATGAAATGGGGCCAGTGCTCTTGGAAAGAAAATAGCTTTAACTGTAACTTTATTTAGTTCCTTTTGGGGGTAACGCCAATGATCCTTAAGGAATGAGCAATTGGATCCTGGTGGATGGTTGATGGTGCGGACTAGCTTCTCACCATATGAGGCTGATCTATGGGAATGCAGGGTTGTCCCCGATGTTTCGACTTCAACCGCCGAACATTGTGTGTTCAAAGTCAGTCCTTGCTGGAAGGGCACATCTCCTCACCAGACTCCCTTGATTCACACACAAAGCCAGCTTGCACTCCAGCTATCATCACTACCGAATCTAAGTGCATTGCAATGGAACATTGTGCAATACCAGGCAGGTGTGGTGTCAAAAAACTAGTAGATAAACTGAAATATTACAGTATCTATTGTCGTTCAACGTTCAATCTCTGTTTGATTTCGAAATATTGTTGAGCTTAAGATGTTTGGTAGATAGTAGTTTGCAGTTTTTGATGGCACATACGGCAAGCAAGCAACCAACACCACTGGCGGCATCAGGTAGAGAGCCTTACCTGCTTGACGGTGCGTGTATCTTCCAATGATGCATGGGAAACTCCTGGGGATGAAGATGACTTGGTCTGCAGTTCAGACGAAGAGAAGGGCACTAGGACTATTGTTGCATCCCTACGATCCTTTTTGCCCAACACAGGAGGACCCAAGACTGAAACCAACGCTTCATCAGCAAAAGGTGGCGCAATCAAAAGGAAACCAGGAGCCTTTCCTCGATCGTTTTCGTGCGTGTGTGTCACCGGGGAAGGGGGCAGGCAGGAATGTTCTTTGTTTTGGTTTCAATAGCAAACTAAGTTTAAGTAAAGAACATGGCTTGGTACCATTCCTACAGGAGCAAAGCGCAAACGTGCTGAAGCAGAGTCAACCAGCATCGATACACAAAGAGGCAACCATGAGGGCGAGGAACATGAGGATGACAAAGAGCTTCTTCTGTGTTGGGAAGAGGCACACCAAACCGAAGCCTAGTTGCATATAGATTATACATGGACATGCAACGGTTGCTAGTTGCTGCTACTCTTTCCATTTGTTTGTCAATCCTCAAAACAGCAAACAACAATATCGACTGGCTTGCAAACGACATTTTGCGAACAATGTCAAGTAAACGCGCTAGGTACATGGACATCATCGTATTCACCCCGAGCCAAAGAATACAGCCAGAGCGAGAGGAAGCTCAGCAGCAGCTGCTAGCTCAAGTTCAGCAGCTCCCGCCGCCACTTCCGCAAGTGATCTACAAGCATTGGGAGCAAATGGGGGAAGTCTTCGGTGTGATGACAAAGGCTACATACACATGTCAACACGCTCAGCTCCTATAGGCGCTAGACAAGTCTTATTCGTATTTGTATATATATATATATATTTGTTTTTCACTTATCCCGGATCCCAATGGTTTCACACATACTGTGCACATCAATTCCAGTTTCTATTTCTATGTGTTTGTCTCCACCGGAATCTAATCTAATCTAATCCAACTCTAATCTATTCCTCTCAGCGTCCCACTGACTTGCAGGTCGCATGACAACTTTCAAAGAAGGAACACCTCAACAAACAATGAGCTTTCAATGCTACTCACACAGCAAGTGCAGAGTGATGAAGCTGCTCAAGAATATGCCCGACAACTTTCAGGCTGCTGGTTTTGCTGTGCTCAATTCCTATGGATAAATACCAAAATGAATGCAAGTCAAATCAAATGTACATTGTGGTCCTGTGGTGATTCAGCGGTCAACATGTGAAGGCCCTAACTATGCAGTGGCTGGAATTGGGAACGACAATTGGAAATAGAGCGTCCGGCGCAGAAGAGCACCGGAAGCTGTTCCTCCATTGCATTGCTGTTGTTACTCCATTCCATTGCTGTGTGCGGATGTGTGCGGTGTATTTTTAATGTGTCCGGCTCCATCGTTGAGGTTTGATGAGTTGGTCATGAGACGTGATCTCTGACTATGTGCGGACAACAGCTCGTGGAGTCCAAAAGGAAACCATTTGCTCAGAACACGGAATGGTTGTTGAACAGTTAAACAATGAATTCATTTATGTTTCTTCCCCTCTGAATTGCTTGCCTCTGTTGCTGACAAGAATGTATGCACTGTTCAGGTCACACAATAACCCACCCAGTGTACATGCACCGTATGTGGATGTCGCGCATACTGCACATGCACACCGTACATACTGCGCATGCACACCGTACATACTGTACGCACACATACCGTACACACGTACCGTACACACGTACCGTACATATTACATTGTATTGTAGTGCTATGTTTGCTAAAGTGACTGGATGTCCAAAGATGGCTGCTCAAACTTTTGTTAGCAATATTTAAGGTTTTGTTAGCAATTTTTAAGGTTTTGTTAGCAATTTTAAGGTTTTTGTTAGCAACACAGTGTGTGCAGTGCAACATGTGCAGCGTGTGTGCGCAGTATGTACAATGTATGCATACGACATGTACGGTGTATGTGAACGGTGTGTGCGTACAATGTGTACGATGTGTGCGTGCAATGTGTACAGTGTGTACATGCGTTGTGTACAGTGTTGTGTGCAGTGTGCAGGCTGTCAAGTCACATCCAAAAAGCCATTTTGGTTTACACTGCACACAGATTCCCGAAACACAATTAGCGTGGCCTGTGGTCAAATGTCGGTGACCTCCAGTGTTCGATTGGCCAAGAAGCATCATGCGACCGGGCCAACAGATGAACCACCACCGACTCCAGATGACTTTCCGGACAAGTACCGACCATTGCGATGCAAGTTCTGCAAAATGTGGTCCACTTCATTGTGTCCTTGGTGTTTGGACAACACCCCATTGTCCAGTTGGTATCCCGTATTGCCTTGGGCACGTGGGAAGCGTGACAAACCAATTGGAGACCGCTGTAAACTTTGCGTTATCGTAGCCAAACTATGCAAAAGCAATGGTTTGTTCTTGTGTTTGTGGGGGCAATATATATAATAGCTATAACTTTTATATATAATATAAACTAAATCATCATAGATCAAGTGAGGTGTGGGAGCAAGGTGGCTTTGAGGCTGAGTACAAGACCGAGGACATCTTTATGAAACAGACCGAGGAGAACCCTGCAAAACTTCATGAGTTCATCAAATGTAGAATCCGTCTTGTCAAAATGAAAGTAGACAACCCAGGCATGCGATTCCGTCTTGAGACCAATGGTTTGACTCGTGAGACACTAAAGACTGCAGCTACAGCGGAATCCGGTCTGGAAGCACCAGAAGAGTACTTTGTTGAGCTCTCTGCATTCGAAGAACAAAATGGACCAGCAAAGGCCAGGTTTTCTTGAATCACAACTAATCATGCTTATACGTGTACTTGTACTCCTATTCATAAATAATACACTGACATATTCAAACGCAAAACTCTGACCATAGGCTGAAGACGTGATCTACGAGGAGGTAGATGGAGTGCTCAAAGCTGGCGTGCACGACTAAGCCAACTAAGACAGCTTAAGCTAGCATCGATAATCAACAAACAATGTAGATACTGCGGCACTGCGGGATCATTGTCCAAGGTGAATGTGCGAACTGGCAAATCCGGTTGGCACAAGCGTATCAACCGGAACTACAGGTCGGTTACACGCGAGGCCCAGCACAATGATGACTATGAGGTTGACCCAGATGCTTTGACCAAGATGCATGCAGCTGCTAAGAGCGCAGTCCTCAAAAGGAAGGCTAACATTGCCAAGGATGTGGGATTGCTTGACAAAATGCTTCAGGGCTTTTCATCTTCATCTGCTACTGCTACCATGGATGATATGGAAGACAAGTCAGGCATCACCATGATTCAGATTCTAGATTGTAGATGTTGATAGTATTGAATATAAAATTACAAAACAACAAGCAGATTGAAAATAGTTCAAGTAAAAAACCTGTCAGGTGATGTGCCTCCTGATGAAGAGAAAGCTATGGAGGAGCATGAGTCAGAGTCGAACGATGAAGGCCCTGTGCAAACGAGCTTTATGACATCATTGAGGACGTTTGCTCCAGCTGACCCCAAGAAGTCTACCACTGCTGCCCCAAAGGCTGCTCCGAAAGCTACTGCTCCGAAAGCTAGTGCTCATGCTTCTCGCAACCGGAAGACGCAAGCTGCTGCTTCAAAGCGAACAGCTGAAGTTCCCAAGGTTGCTATTGGCAAAGCAAAGCGGGCTAAAGTGACAGATGATCTTGAAATGTGCATGGATGCTGCTACTGAGGAACCACCAGAGTTCTCTGAGGCAGACAAAGACCTCCTGGACGGGTTTGTGAACCGGTTTGCGTTTGCGAAGAAGCTCGAGCCACCACTTGCAGACGCTCCGTTCAAGAGCTACATCCAGGATCGCATCACCAAATTGAACGCATTGAAGAACGACGTTAAAGCAAAGCGCCGCAGTGCTTTGAGACGTCAAGACAAGGAGAACGATCCTTTGTACATTGAATTGGGCAAGCTGTCTGACAAAGCTGACACCTACATGCATTTGTTGAAGTGTAGCTCAGATAGCAAGGTGTACTCTTTATTTTTTCTAACTTTTAACGGTTAACGTTCAATCATATCAGGGAAGAAGGGTCAGTTCTTGGGCAACCTACTGCTGCCAAGGCTTGCTGGGCACAGCCCAAGTTGGCTCAGAGTCATCGTTGATACAACTGATGGATGCTTCAGGAAAGGAGGATGGCTTTGAGTTCAATGGGGCTGTGATTCGACGTGGGCTCAAATCCATGGTCAATGACGATTTCCGCTTGGAAGCATGGGAGAACCTTGTAACCAAAACGTATGAGTCCATCCAGAAGAGGTTTGTTGAAAGTGAGGACACTACCAAGGCAGATGACTTCTACCAACTCCTATGCACCCAGATTTTGCAGAAACTTGTACGGACAGCAGGGTCCAAGTTCAAGAACAAGGACTGGTTTGACTGAACAGAACATCACTGAGCTTCATTCTATAGTATTATAGTTTTAATAATAATGTCCAATGGTTCACAAATATACAACATTACCTGGGACACATGGCAGGAGGGCTGCTTCTCACAAGTCAACAAGAATGTCTTGGAGGGGTCTGTATCATTCCTTCGCCATTTGGTGTGGTCCGCCACTACTCCAAATAGCTTTAAGACTGACGCCAGACGCTCTTTGGGATTGCTGACAGCTGACGATTGCCCGGCCAAAGAACTGGATGATGCTATCCTCCTTGTGGACAAGTTGAAATCGGATAAGCAGCTTGTCCTTTCACTTGAATATATTTTGATATGTTCTTTTCAATTTGACAGTTTGATTCGTTGCTTGACCAGCTAATTATATTAGCTATATATATATATACTCCGTATATTATTATATATTGCTTCCAAAAAGGCTTTGGACTCTAGACTCTAGACTCTAGACTTTAGTCACTATAATCCAGCCAGGTCTTTGGCTTCCTCTTATGCTATGACCTCGGCTGTGGCTGCAACTCCGGTTGGTGCCAAAGTGATTGCAGACGCCCGCAATTTGCTGTCATCTCGAAAGGAGACTACCGGGGAGGTCGATACATTGTTTCAAGAGCTCACAGCTTATGGCAAGCCTACTTCTGCGAAAGAAGTGGAAGAATTGAATCTGGTTTCCATTCAGCTTGGAAAGTTTTCAAGCCTGTTTATTTGTTTCCCGCTGTCGAGCTTTAGCTTTTCATATGTGCAGCAGCTAAGGACAACCTTAACGGCAAGCCTCCTAGAGTCCTGGCACAAGCTCAAAGCCACGAATAAGATGACCAAAACGGCAATTCAGGACAAGCAGGTTGCAGTCAACAATATTGTTGCTTGTGTGCTTGTGGCGAGATGGGAGCTTATCGATACTTGGTTGTCTTACAGTAGTGCTATTATATGTTTTATGTTTTCTGGGTGCTTGGTTGTAAGTTATAAGATGTAAGTTGCAAGTTGTAAGTTGTAACTTGATGCGGACGGAATCTTTCAGGTACAGCCGTGGCTTGTGGATGCCCTGACATCACTTCAATCTAGCTCTGTCTTCCAGCCACCGTCTGACAATTGTCTTCCAACATCGCTTGGCGGCTGTGATGTTTCCAAGCCTATGATTGATTTGATCCAAACCTTTGCCAAGTTGTCCAAAGAGCTCTGTGCCGGAGTCAACGTTGACCCAGGAAAGCTTCATAAGTTGTTGCAGAGTGCTTCTGCCATGAGCCCAGCATTCAAAGTGTCTTGGCTGTCATCCATCTACGTTCAGTTCTGTCTTGGTAGCTTTTTGTTGTTTTCAGTTTTAAGTATATTATATAGTTATGAGTTTCAATTGTTCCCTTTTTTCATGAGTTTTGCGCATTCGTTCTGAGGCAAAAGTGCTTGAACCAGGCGAAGTGTCAGCCAACAGCTTAGACAAGATTATGTTCCAGATTGGTGAGTTTCAATCGCAGATTGAGCGTGTCAAGATGGCTCGCGTCACCGATGCAGCAGCTGCCCATATTGCTGCGCTCAAGGACATGGTTGTCAAAGTGATGGATAATCAGGTTTGGGATGAAGAGGATTGCACTCCAGATCGCATAGCTCAGTGTGGTACGCATGTCGAAAAGCTGCAACTCCATGCCGCCTGTTTACCACGCGACGACAGCAATCGTGGTCGTTGGTTGATCTTTGCAGATTTGGCGAGCGCTATGTACTCCGCAGGCGAGCGCTTGAATAGAGTCAATAGAGGTAGATACTTCTGGGTTAGAGTTTGAGCCAAGAGGTTTGAAATTGGCAATGTTCTATGGACATCAATAACGTACCCTTCAACTTCAACCTTTGTCAGGCTTCCATTCACAGAACATCGAGACAGTGTCTAATCTTGGCAAGTACTATCAATCTGCCCAACATCTTGCCAATCTTGACAGTGACGCAATTGCCAACGCCGCTACCGTCATTGAGCGTGAAGGCATTGCAGGCCAAGTATCCAACAGGATTAAATGGCTGGTTGATGATGCCACATCGAATCTTCAAGCATGGTGGACGAACGAGGACGGGTTTTCAATTCAAACAAGAATGCTATATGCTCATGTTGAACTAAAAAGTAATTCCCAAAGCATGGCCGACTCAGTGGTTGTTGTTTCTCTGGTATGCAGGCACAGAAGTTGCAGGCTTCCATTGCGAAGGCTGAGGAACTCAACTTGCCTGCAGTGGCTTCCATCACTGTCCCAAGTTCTCTTTCTCAAGGCACAGTGCCGCCGCTCAAAGAGTTTCCAGAATTGCGCAACCTAGACCAAAAGGCATGTGCAGATATATCGTCATCCATTCGTGCGAGCACCAATGCCCAGGAGGAATCATAATTTCAATTCATACACTTTGATTATGAGTTCAAATTTTATATTGATATGTTGTTTGTTATTTTTTGTTAATATATTTCATATTTCATATTGTATATTTCATATATTAATATAAATATTTAATACATATATATATATGTTCCATGATTCCTTGTTTCCCACGTAGTTTGAGGAGATGATCAAGTTGAGTGGATGCAGACTTCCTGAAGCACATCAGTCATGCGTGAACCAAGCGAATGGAATTCTCCTCAACATCATCAGCCTGTTGTCTGCAATTGCCATTGTCAAGACAATGTCTTTGAGCAGATGGACCAAAGCGCTAAAGGAGAAGAAACAACCTCCAAAAGAGCTCATCCAGAACTTGGCGGACACCACCAAACTTTGCAAGGATATGGGATTGAACATCCCTGGCGAATTGCAAGCTGCAGCTCTTTCCTGGACCAACCAGGATTCATCTTGAGTCTCGAGCTCGGCTTTCAGAAGTGGGAGCTGACAGGATTCAGTACGGGATTCTGAGTTTGACTTGTTTTGATTTTGTTTGCAGGACCTCATGAAAAGTCCTTGGGGTTACTGTAGTTGTCTCTGTCTCAATAGCGAGAGCGAGACATTCGATTCTGTTAGTTGTTTAGTCGAGTCGTGTCGTTGATTTCAGCTCCCTAGTCAATTGAACTAATTCGATATCAGGGCCTAAGCTCTATCATCACCTAGTTGAGTAGTTGAATATGGGTGCAGTGCCACAGGACATGGGTTTACTCTTGGGCACTTGTGTGTGGTTTCTGTGATGTGCAAAGCATTCACAGAAGCTGGAAACGTAGGATACACTCAGGGCATTGAGAAGAAACCTTGATTGAGCAGCCCCAAGAAAACCGGCAGTTTTTTTCTTTGCTTCAATGTTTTGTTTAGTTAGATTCAGATTTAGATTCAGATTCAGAATCGGCTTCGGCAACCTTCAAAACGTAAGACTTTGACTCAGCTTTGGACTGACTTTGATACTCATTACTCATGATGCTCGCGGCTGAACTATCAAGTTGGAGAGGTATTAATATTTATTGATCCCTCCTTTTGTCTCACACATTTGTAGGATCTAGTCTGCCCAGATCATGCCGCCCAAGGGCACAGCCAAAGCCAAACCGAACCCGAAACCCAAAGCAGTAAAGGCGAAAGCCAAACCCAAGACTACTGCTGTAAAGGCCAAAGCCACGCCAAAGGGCAAAACCCAGCCAAAAGCCAAAGCGTATCCAGACATCCCCCTCCCAAAACCTGCAGATTTGCCTCCTGGGCAGATTGAAAGGAACCGTGACTGGTGGGCGCAACATCTGCAAAAGAAACCCAAATTGGAACCCAAAGATGAACCAGAAGATGCAATTGACATGTCTTGTGATCCTGTCGGCAGTGATGATGATAATGCTGCTGCTGCTGCTGATGATGATGATGATGTGAAGTCATGTCACACCTCCCTGTCTCGTGCACTGTCTCAAATTGTGGAGGGTCATACAGAGACAAGCAGCCAACAAAATGAACCAGCACAATCAGCGTCAGCACCAGCATCAGCCAACACTGCAACTGGCACACCTGATCAGCCATCAACACAAGAAAGACAAGCGGAAGCATCCCAGCTAGTCACCATTGCAGCAGCTACAACAGCAGCAGCAGCACAAGCAGAATCTGCATCACCAGAGGCACCAGAGACTGCTGCAGCTGCGGCACCGGAGAATGGAGCATCAGCAGCGCCACAACAC